ATAATACAAAACATCTTTTCAGGCCATAATGTTACAAAATTAGAAATTAATAAGAAGAAGATAAAGGAGAAAAAAACATTTGGAAGCTGAACAACAACTTACTTGAACATCACTGGGTACTAGAAGAAATAAAAAAATGAAATTAAAATGTTCTTGAAACAAATGACAATGAAAACACCACTTACCAAAACCTCTGGGAAACAGCCAAAGCAAAATCACAGGTCAATTTATAGCAATAAGCAAACACATCAAAAGGCAGAAAATAATGACCATTGATTCTCTAACCAAAAATCTCCAGCAAATTGAAAAAGAACAACAAGAAAACCCAAAATCCTCTAAAAAAACTAAAATTATAAAAATTAGAGCAGAAATAAATGAAATAGACAACTGAAAAACAATTGAAACTATCAACAAAACTAGGAGTTGGTTCTTTGAAAAGGTCAATAAAATTGACAAACCATTAGCAAAACTCACAAAAGAAAAGAAGGACAAAACACAAATAATTGGAATAAGAGATTGATCAGGCAACATCACAACAGAAGCAACTAAAATACAAAAGCTAACATTAGAGTATTACAAATACGAAAACCTAGAGGAAATGGAAAAATACTTAGAAATGCACAACGTACCTAACCTGACACAAACCAAAATTGAACATCTGAACAGACCTATTATAAAAGAAGAAATTGAAAAGGTAATACAACTTCCAACCAAAAAAAGCCCTGGACCAGATGGTTTTACAAGTGAATTTTATCAAACATTCAGAGAAGAACTGTACCAATTATACATAAATTATTTCAGAAAATAGAAAAAGATGGAATTCTCCCAGACTATGATGTAAACTTATCCTTGATACCAAAGCCAGGAAAGGACACCACCAAAATAGAAAACTATAGGACAATATCTCTTATGAACAAAGATGCAAAAATCCTGAATAAAATACTGGCCAATAGAATTCAACGATACATCAAAAAAATAATTCACCATGACCAAGTGGGATTTTTAACAGGTATGCAAGTATGGTTCAACATAAGGAAAACAATCAGTGTAATTCATCACATTAACAAAGCAAAGAAAAAGAACCACATGATCCTATCAATTGATGCAGAAAAGGCCTTTGACAAAATCCAACACCCTTTCCTGATTAAAACACTCAACAAAACAGGATTTGGGGGGAATTTCTTCAACACAGTAAAAATATTTACACAAACCTGAGAGCCAACATTGTTCTCAATGGAGAGAGGTTAAAGGCATTCCCTTTAAAAACAGGAACTAGGCAAGGATGCCCATTATCACTTCTCTTATTCGATATTGTATTGGAAGTCTTAGCAATAACAATAAGACAAGAGAAGGAAATAAGAGGTATCCATATTGGCAAAGAGGAGGTAAAATTATCTCTCTGTGCAGATGATAAGATAGTATATCTAGAAAACCCTAAAGACTCAACAAGAAAACTATTGGACACAGTGGACCAATTTAGCAAAGTGGCAGGATACAAGATCAATATGCAAAAATCAGTTGGATTTCTCTACAGTGACAAAGAGGATACAGCGCTGAAACTATACCCTTCACAATAGCTAATCAGAAGATTAAATACTTGGGAATAAATCTAACCAGAAGCACAAAGGATCTATTCAAAGAAAATTACAAAACATTACTACAAGAAACAAAATGATCCAGGGAGAAGTGGAAGAATATCCCTTGCTCATGGATAGGAAGACTCAATATTGTGAAAATGGCAATACTACCAAAGGCAATTTATATGTTCAATGCAATCCCAATACAAATACAAATCCCATTCTTCAAGGAAATGGAAAAGGTAATCTCTCATTTCATTTGGAATGGAAAAAAGCCCTGAATAAGCTCTCTTTAAAAATAGAGAAAAGGTAGGAGGCATCTCCCTACCTGATTTCAAATTCTGCTACACTGCCATGGAGGTTAAGACAGACAGCATGGTACTGGTACAATGAGAGAAACATAGATCAATGGAATAGAATTGAGAACCCAGGAATCAGCCCATCTACCTATGGTTAACTGATTTTTGACAAGGAGATGAAATCAGTTAAGTGGGGAAACGACAGCCTTTGAAAGAAATGGTGTTGGCTAAATTTGAAAACTATCTGCAGAAGACTCAAGCAAGATCCACACCTCACTGAATATGCAAAAATCAACTCAAGGTGGCTCATTGACCTAGGACTAAAACCAAGGACTTTGTTAAAGAAAAACTTGGAATAACTCTAGTAATCGTAATCCACAACATTAAAAGTCTTCCAAGTATCCTGAAAAAAATCTACAACCAGGAGAAGATAAAATAGATTAATGGGACCTTCTGAAAATCAAATCCCTATGCACATCCAAAAACTTCTCCAACAGGGTAAAAAGGGAAGCTACAGACTGGGCAAAAAGTATTTGGGAATGACATGTCAGATAAGGGATTTATATCTAGAATTTATAAAATACTTGAGCACCACAAGATAAAGGCAAATAATCCAATTGAAAAATGGGCACAGGATATGGACAGACACTTCACCAAAGAAGACATTCAGATGGCCAACAAGCACATGAAGAAATGTTAAAAATCCCTAGCTCTAAGAGAGATGCAAATCAAAACAACTATGAGATCTCATCTCACCCCAGTCAGAATAGCAAAATTGAACAGAACAACGAGCAACAAATGCTGGCGAGGTTGTGAAGAAACTGGAACCCTTATTCACTGTTGGTGGGAGTGTAAAATGGTGCAACCACTGTGGAAGGCGGTGTGGTGCTTCCTCAAAAAGTTGCAAATACAGATACCATTTGACCCAGCAATTCCACTACTGGGAATATATCCCAAAGAGACCACAACGGACATCAAAGCAGATATATGCAAACTCATGTTTATCGCGGCTTTGTTCACAATAGCAAGGAGTTGGAAACAATGGGTGGCCATCAACAAATAAATGGATAGAAAAGCTGTTGTATATTCACACAATGGAATACTATGCTGCATTGAAAAACAAGGGACTCATGCAATATTATTCAAAATGGGTGTCCCTGGAGGACATTATGCTGAGTGAAATAGCTCAGTCGCAAAAGGACAAATACTGCATGGTGCCACTGCTATAAAATGGGACTGACATCAGGGTTGGGATAAGACTGAGAAAAACTGGATAAATTGTGTATACTGCACTGAAACAGATGAGGGAGACAATAATTTAAAAGCAATGTATGATAGGGTATTATGGTTATCACAAGAGTCCACAATTAAGGTTGCATAGTGGAATGTACTTGGGGAGTGGGAGGGATGTGGGGGGATTGTGTACCAGAGAGGGAGTGTTTCTTTTACTTTTTTTCAAAGAGAGGAACGAACTGGGGAGCAAGGCGGGGGGAGGGATGGGCAGAGAAAGAAGTGCAGCAATGAACGAATGGAACCCCTAAATCTCTGTAAATGTTCATTAAAATTATTAAAATTAAAAAAATAAAGAAAAAAAACACACCACATTGATTGGCAGACCCTGTAGCTATACAGTAACTCAGTGATCAAATAAATTTCAGAGAAAACTCGTCTGTGGTGAAATCTGTTTAAAGGATTAAAAGACTGCATATTGTGATGACTAGAAAGAAAACGTCACACTGTAGGCACAAATTGTACTTTAAATATCTTTTCCACGTCACATATTTATGATAAAGTTAGTCAAACATAATACCAATTTGACTCTTTTTTTTTAAAAAAAAAAAGACACAAAATGCGGAAAAGAGCACCATATTATAAACAGCATCACTGGGACTCAAACATAAACAGAGCACATTGAGAGATCGAGGTTGAACCAGGTTGAGTTTGATTCTCATCACTCTGTAGATCTTAATAGTTATGTAGGCACTGGAAGAAGTTGTTCATCATTCTACAAGTTCAAAATAACATATAATCTTGATTTCTAAAAACAATTGCTGAAGAAATTTGATGACTAATAATACATGCAGTAATTTCACCTACATTTGGGGCTGATGTTGTTAAAAGTTTAAGTCTAAATATCTAGTCTGTATGAAAGTTTTCTATTCTGTTAGCCTTTTTACTTCTATGAGCTAAGATGATGGGCAATACATCTGAAAGCAAGTTGTTGTGGTGTTGTTGATTGCCTTTGAGTCGAGCATGACCCATAGCAACCCTATGAACAAAAGGCCTGAAGCCCCTCTACAACTATCGACATTTATCAAAGTTTATAGCGTTTCCAGAGGCATGTTGTTTAGGAATTGAATGCCACTCCTGCTTCCAATCTAAAATCAAGTATTATGTATATAATATATTAATGAAAACTTGTTCTATTTTATATTAAAACCAGACAAGTTGCTCGATTCTGACTCCTAGTTTCCTCTCTATGGGGCTTCTGAGGCAGTAAATCTTAATGAGAGAAGACTATTTTTTTTCTCTGATAGAACAACTGGTGGATTAAAACCATTGTTTTTTTATTATTTATTTTTTTTATTAACAGCCCAGTATGTTATGTACTATATCCCAGGATTCTTTGTAAAATTATTTTATTGAATATGTCTAAATAATATATGGAACATACTTAACTAAAAAAGATAGCTATAGTATAAATTATTGTATCCTACATCAAATTTCATTGGCATTTTTTTAAACTTTCTCCTCTCTGTTAACTATTGCCATTCCTATTATAGCAAAGGAAAAAGTATATTTTTGCTTCCCATAACCCTTCTCACATCTTATATTTCAGCATTGTTAGTCCATATTTAAAGTTCATCACCCAGAATAAATGATATTATTAAGTAATATAATAATGCTGAGAATATATCTATTTTAGCTGGATCTAAGATGAAAGACACTAAATAACCTGACTAAAGATATACATGAAGTATTAGTACTCTGATTCAAACAGGTTTATCCAAAAGGGCTGTCATCATTTGTCTGATAAACTTTTAGGAACAAGATAGAATTCATTTTGAAACTATAATTCCTTTAATATATGCTATATGATTAGATAGCTCTTTACATTAAGTATTTATAGGTTCTGATCTAGCCAATGAATGTACTTATCCCTTACTCTAAATCCTAGATGTAAATAATATGGTGATGTGATGAATGATAGTGCTGCATGGATTCCATCCTCTATATGATCATGAGCAACTTCAACTCCAGCGTTGCGAAGTCGTGTGACATACATCAGTCCATCATCTCTAAGAATATCATGTTGGCAGGTAAGGATATAGGTTAATGGCAAATTTTGTAATTGGGTATCATTGACCAACAAGGGTGATAACCTACTATCCATAAGTTCTGGATATGTGGAGTCCTGTCGCAGAGTTGGTTCTGTGTAAACATGGTTCTTTTTAAAATCTTCAGGAAGGAAGACACTCCAGTTAACCAACTTGAAGAGATGTCTTGATCCTTGAGGCATATGTTTGTTTTGTTTAAGTAATTTGCGGCATAATTTATCCATGGTCACATATAGACATCCAAGATTAGTTATAATATCTCTTGTCAAAAATGGACCAGATTGATATTCTTTGTGAGATGGTGTGTGGAAATCAACTGTCTGTAAGTAAGGATATATTAAAGCTTGTACTTTAATCTTATTTTTGAGTTCTGGATTATTCTTTATCTGAAAAAAAAGGTACACAACAACAAGTAAATAATCCAAAGGTTTCTAATATTAAGGAGAGGAAAGTTTACTTTTATCATATGAGAAGCTATGAGGTAAATGAGGTTATGCAAATTGAAACAATGTTATAGTAGACTGAAAGATAGCACATAAAATATCAGATTATAATATACAGAACATAAAAATTTTATTTTCTTGACAAAAATTGCCTTTTCCGATATTTTTAATTCTCTTAAGATGAGGAGGTTAACCTCTATTATCTGGGTGGGCTCTAAGTGCAATCGTATATTTTTGTATAATAGAGAGACACATGTAATTTCACACACACACACACACACACACACACACACACACACACATGAAAAAGATAAGAAATTAGAGACACAGCCTATACATCCATAATCCAAGAACTACCAAGGAATTCTTATATCCACCAGAAGCTAAAAGTAAAACTGTCATATTCCTTCAAGGAAAACAAAGCCCAAGACTCAAGCAGTCTCTATACCTTTCGAGGGCATTCAAAGTAACAGGTTGCATAGACACCAGTGATTGATTTTTAACTTGTTTCAGAAATCCTGAAGCAATACTGAATATAAACTCACATAATGATAAATTACACAATAAGCAAGATAAGCAAATGTTTGGGGCATCAAGAAAACACAGGGACCATTTATCGGATCATTTATCAAAAAGCAAAGGTTTTCAAATGCCAAGCAGATAGAACACAAGAAAAAACATGCACCTCAGTGGGAGAGAAATTCTAGGGCAAAAAAACGAAACTGATAATAGCTTGAATCTAGAAACAGAATTTTTAAAAAGTGTCCATTGACAAGTTTATTTAAGCTATGAGACTCCTACCACTTCAACATTTTTGTTCAACATAATTGGTAGCATCAGGATGGATGGCGAAGAGATTGAGATTGTTCACAGCTTCAGTTTGCTTGGCTCCACAGTCAACACTCTTGGCACTAGCAGCCAGGAAATAAAAAAACGTATTGCGATGGGAAAGTCTGCTGTTAGGGACCTCTCTAAAGTGCTCAAGAGCAACGGTGTCTCTTTGGAGACGAAGGTGCACCTGATACAGGCCATGGTGTTTGCAATCACTTGTTATGCATCAGAGAGTTGGACAATGTGTAGGGAGGACAGAAGGAGAATTGATGCCTTTGAGCTGTGGTGCTGGAGAAGAGTATTGAATGTACCATGGACTGCCAAGAAAACAAACAGATTCATCCTAGAGAGGGTTAAACCAGGCTACTCCTTGGAGGCAAGGATTCTGAGGCTTCGTCTGACATACTTTGGACATGTAAGGAGAGACAGGTCTTTGGAGAAGGACATCATGCTGGGTAGAGTAGAGGGACAGCGCAGGAGAAGACCCTCTATGAGATGGATTGATTCAGTGACTGGGGTAATCGGAATGGGTGTGTCAGAGGCAATGCTATTAGCACAGGATAGAGCAGGGTTTAGGGCTGTTGTACATAGGGTCGCTATGAGTTGCAAATGACTCGACAGCACATAACAACAACAACAACAACCCTCCTATGCAACAGAAACTGCTTCTTCAGGCAGGTATCTTTTTAGAATCTACTATTTATTTAATATATACAGGAATTGCAGGTGGACTATTGAGTCTACGTCTCACTGTATCTAGTCAGTATGCATATAGATCCACCAATGAGAGGTTTGGTTTTTTGGCTTCAGCTCCTTGCACATTTCATTATAATACTTAAATACTTTCTTCGCACACTCCCCTTTGGAATCTTCTGTTCAACTCCCTAATATCTTGATTTCTTCCCTTTGCTTTGGCTTCTTGGCACTTTAAGGCAATATTTATAGTTTCTTCTGACATCCATCTTGGTCTTTTCTTTCTCCTCTGTTTTTGCAATGACTTTTTGCTTTCTTCCTGAATGATATTCTTGATACTTTCCCACAGCTCATCTGGTCTTCGCTCATTAGTGTTCCAAGGCCTCAAACTTGTTTCTGAGATGGTTTTAAAATTCAGGTGGGATAGACTCAAGGTAAAATTCTGGTTCCTGTGAATTCGATTTAATTTCCCTTGGCTCCAGCTTGAACTTGCATATGAGTAGTTGGTGATCTGTTCCACAATCAGCACTTGGCCCTCAGCTTCTCCAGTGGTTCTTTCCACGGATGAATCAATCTGATTGCTATGCATACTAACAGGTGAAGTCCATGTGTGTAGCACGCATTTATGTTTCTTTTAAAATGTATTTGCAGTGAATAAGTAGTTGATTGTGCAAAATTCTATCATTCTATCTCCAGCTTCATTTCTGCCATGAAGTCCATGTTTTCCAACTACTGATTCTTCTTCTCTGTTCCCAACTTTTGCACTCCAGTCATCCATTATTATTAATGAATCTTGATTGCATGTTTGATCAATCTTTGGTTTCTTTGGTAGAAATCTTCTATTTCCTCATCTTTGGCTCTGGTTGTTGTTATTTGAATATTTGAATGATGATGGTCTTCACTGGACTTCTTTGTATGCGTATGGATATCCTGTCACTCACAACACTGTATTTCAAGACACATCTATAAATGACCTTTTTAAATATGAAAGAAACCTCATTTTTACTCACCTTTTCATCTCCAGCATAGCAGATCATATGATTATCTGACTCAAAATGTTCCATGCCAGTACATCTCATTTTGCCAATATTTACATCAATATTTATGTGTTCCATTTCTATCTTAACAATATCCAGTTTTTCTACATTCGTGGTTTTCACATTCCATGTTCCAATCACTAGTGTTCCTCCTCATATGTACCTCCATACCTGACGTCTCAGCCTCAGTTGCCATATCTGCCAGTCTAAGTGTGCTCTGTTGTACATAGGTTTTTTGAAGGCCTACTATTTAAGAAGTGGATGGCCAATTCTTCATCCTAGTCTGTCTAAATTTGAAAGCACAGATTTAGAACATTATCTGACAGACAAGTATACAAGCATTTAACAGAAAAGAGGAGATTAAAGATATTTCCAAATTATAAAAATAATAAATAGATTAGATTCAGTGTTGTCCCTGCCCTTGACACATGTGTCTTGACCCACCCCTTTCCCTGTTCCACCAGCATTCACTTCTATTCTCACCTACTCCATTCAACACCTATCTCCCCTTTCCAGCCCATGATGTGATGGTTTATAATCTCAAAATGGTCAATGCCACTCTATTTCGGCTCACTGTTTTTATGTGCCATCAAGTCAGAACTAATCCATAGCTGACTATGCAGAGACTGTAAAGTACAACTCCCTGACATCAAAGTCACACACACACACACACACAGAGAAAATGCCTGTTTCACATAAGAATTCACCTTTACCCTCACACTCTTCACTGCTCTGTTCTTTGGAAAGTTATCCTAGACATCATCTCTCATATGTTCTAGGCTAACAGCACTTCTCGTGCATTGCCTCCTCACTCTCCATTTTTGGCTGCTGAAGATTTTATTAGATGCAGATAAGGAAGATTTTAATCCAAGGCTAAAACCTCATTTACCCTATTTGTTTTGAACATATATAAACCCTCAGGATTAAGAACTCAGAAATGTTCTGAGATCATGGAAGACTTAGAAGAGAGAGACTGGATTTAGGAAATTTCTCTTTCTTTTGTAAGCTAAATTGTAAGTCAAAAAGTACCTTCATTAAGGACTTAACTTTAAAAAAAATAAATAAAATTTTATACTGATTTACTTGTTGTTATTGTTATGTGCCATCAAGTTGCTTGTGACTCATAGTGACCCTATGTAGAAGAGCCCCAAACCCTTCTCTATCCTGTGCCAACCTCACTGTTTCTGACACACCTACTCCCATTACCCTAATCATTGAATTGATCCATCTCATCGAGGGTCTTCCTCTCCTGTGCTGTCCCTCCACCCTCCCAGACATGATGTCCCTCTCCAAGGACTGATCCCTTCTTGCAACATGCCCAAAGTATGTCAGATGAAGCTTCAGAATCCTTGCCTCCAAGAAGCAGCTCAGTTTCACCCTCTCCAGGACAAAGCTGTTCTCCTAGCAGTTCATGGTATATTCAACACTCTTATCCAGCACCACAGCTCAAAGGCATTTTGTTTACATTGTTTTCAAATAGCACATTGGATATTTTCCATTTCCTTTACCCACCCCTCCCTCTACCCATCAAATTGTGCTACCCTGAGATTAACCCCTGGCCATCCTCATCACTTTGCTCTTACCCTCCAGCCTTGGATCCTCATACATGCTTCCCTAGTTATCTTTCTATTTATGCAATAATCATCTGATACAGTATTTGTCCTAATGAGACTGAGTTCATTTAGCATAAAAATTATGACTCAGCTCTTCCACTGCTTGGTATATACTCCGAGGAAATTAAAGCTGAAGCACAAATGGAGATTTGGACACCAATGTTTTTAGCAGTGTTATTCACCATTGGAAGAACATGGAAGCAGCTCACATGTCCAATCACAACTGAATAGGTTAAGAAATTATGGTACGTTCACATGATGGAATATTACACAACATGCAGGAACAATGACTTTGAAAATCATTACCTAACTTGGTAGGCAGTGGAGAGAGCATTATGCTAGGACCTAACTTTTTAAGAAATTATTGTTACTGAATGGTGAAATAAAAATTTGCTTACTAACTTTTAGGAAGATTATATATATGTTATTTATAAATTGTTCTTGTTTGCTATTGAGTCAAAACTAACTCATAAATAACTCTACAGTTGGGTTTTGGAGACTGTAAATCATAAGCAAGGAGATTGTCCATCTGTCTCCCACTGAGAAGCTGGTAAACTTGAACTACATCGAATGCCTTTGACTTGGCAGCAGAGCTCTTTACCACTAGGCCATCAGAGCTCCATAATTTATGACTTGTTGTAGTTGCTATTGTTAAGTGCTTACAAGTCCAAACCAACTTATAGCTGACTTTCCAGAAGGTTTTCAGAAGGTGTAAATTATACAGGAAGAGATTATTCATCTATTTCTTTTGAAGCAGCTGGTGAATTGGAACGATACACCTTTGGTTTGGCAATACAACTCCTTACCACTAAGTAACCAGACCTCCCTAATGTATAAGTTATTGTATGCCATTGAATTGGAACTGCTTCATAACTGATTCAGATTTTCAGAGGAAGGAGATTGTCCAAATCTCTCCCGGAGAGCAGCTGGTGGATTTAAACCTCATACATTTTGGATTGCAGGAAGTGCAGCTTCTTGTCACTAGGCTACCAGAGCTCCCAATTTATAGGTAGAGAGAGGTCAACAAATACATCGAAAATTATCTCTCTGCTTTTCTAATTTCTTTACATAGAACAGTGGTTTGGAAAATAGGAATTATGTTTTCAAATATATTAATTATGTGCAAAGTTAATATTTAACCATATAAAGCAAGGTTTTAAACATGTCATCAATTTAATTTACTACTACCATAATAAGTGATTCTTTCATGTGAGAAGGAAGCATAGCTCAAATATAAAAGAGTAACAAGCCTTCATAACAGAGATGGTAATAATTCCAAAAGATTGGTAGATTATGAAGTACCATAATATATTTTTTAAAACCCCCCTGTGACATTAAATGGCAGTTCTGAGACATAGAGAACTTTTCCTTAAAATCAGTGGGGTAACATAGTGCTTTATTTAGAATAGTAGCTCCAATTCCTACAACATAGTTATTTACCTAAAGGTAAAATAATGTGTAACAGTCCTTTTCTTTTTTAAAAATATAAGATAAAAATATATTTGTGGCTAAAATGACTCTTTTGAATGAGACTTATTGTGGGTGTTACATGTTCTGTATAAAAATATGATATATAAGACATACCATTTGAGTCACTTTTGTTGCCAGCAAACCCCCACAACTGTCTCCTGCAATACAAATGCGGGTAGGATCCACTCCATATTTCGCAAGAATTGTATCTTGTAAAAAGAAATTGACTGCAGTAAGGACATCTTCTAAAGCAGCAGGGAATCGATATTGAGGAGCTAGTCTGTAGCTTAAAAGGAAAAACAACAACAAATATTTATTGTTGGGTATTGCGTGTATAACTACAAGAATTTCTCATTTTAACCATCACATTTATCACATGATATTGAGACAAAGTTTTCTACTCATAGTAACCAATGCAATTACTACTAGCTTTTATTTTAAAATATGGATTCTGGTATAAAGATGCTTTAATTTTGGATCTATGAGGAAAGGAGACACATTGTCTATGCCACACACATAAAAGCATGTAAAAAATTTATTAAAAAAGAAATCTGTAGTAAAATTTCCCAGTATAATTTATCAGATGCCTGATGAAATTAGTGCCACAAGAAGTTTCAGAATGATTGATGATAATATGCAAGAGATTGTTATGCAACAAATTGGAAAGCAAGTAATTTAGAAATGACTTATTAGAAATTAATTTAGTTATTTTATAAGATTATATGTATCACTTTATAGGTGGAAACTGCTTGATAACTCAAAGTTTTAAATAGAAATAGCATTTGATCTAATTACAAATTTTACCTTGTTGCAAAGTAACTTGTGGGAGGGAATAAATCATTATAGTATATTTTAATGTGCAAAACTGTATTATAGGGGTGTGTGTGTGTGTGTAGTAGTAGTAGTAGTAGTAGAAATATTGTTGTTTCGTGTTGTTGAGTAGAATCTGATCCACAGCTGACCCTTCAGTGGGTTTTCAGAAGCAATAATCATAGAGGAGGATATTGTCCATCTTTCTTCAGCAAATAAGAAGCAGCTGGTGATTCAAACCCCATGCCTTTGGGATTGCAGAACAGTTTCTTACCATTAAGCCATCAGAGATATAGAGAGTGCTATTTAGAAATAAGGATAACGAGACATTATCTTACATACTTAGAACATGTTATCATGAGAAGGATATTAAGCTTGACTAAGTGTTGTTGTTATGTGCCATAAAGTCAACTGCAACTTATAGTGACCTTATTATGTACAACAACACTGAACCCTGCCCTGAGTCAATCTCATTGTTTCCGACACACCTAGCCCCATTATCTCAGTTACAGTGTCAATTCATCTCTTCCTGGGTCTTCCATATAACCTCCCAAGAATAATGTCCTTCTCCATGTCAAAAGTATGTGAGACAGAGCTTCAGAATCCTTGCCTCCAAGGAACAACTTTGGCTTCTCTTTCTCTAGGACAGATCTGGTTGTTCTTTTGATAGTTCATGATATGTTCAATACTGTACTCCAGCACCACTACTGTTGCTGTTGCTGTTATGTGCCGTCGAGTCGCTTGCGACTCATGGGGACCCTATGTACAACAGCCCTAAACCCTGCTCTATCCTGTGCCAATCTCATTGTGTCTGACACATGCATCCCGATTACCCCAGTCACTGAATCAATCCACCTCATAGAGGGTCTTCCCCTCCTGCACCGTCCCTCCACTCTGCCCAGCATGATGTCCCTCTCCAAAGACCTGTCTCTCCTTACAACATGTCCAAAGTATGTCAAGCGAAACCCCAGAATCCTTGCCTCCAAGGAGCAGCCTGGTTTAACTCTCTCTAGGATGAATCTATTTGTTTTCTTGGCAGTCCATGGTACATTCAGTACTCTTCTCCAGCACCACAGCTCAAAGGTGTCAATTCTCATTCTATCCTCTCTAGTCATTGTCCATCTCTCTGATGCATAACAAGTGATTGCAAAAACCATGGCCTGTATCAGGCGCACCTTAGTCTCCAGAGACACCGTTGCTCTTGAGTACTTTAGAGAGGTCCCTAACAGCAGACTTTCCCATCGCAATACGTTTTTTGATTTCCTGAATACTGATGCCAAGAGTGTTGACCATGGAGCCGAGCAAACTGAAGCTGTGAACAATCTCAATCTCTTCACCATCCATCCTGATGCTACCGATTGGTCCAGTGGTGAGAATTTTTGTCTTCTGGACATTGAGCCTCAGTCCATATTGAAGGCTGCAGTCCTTGACCCTCTGCAGTAAGTGCATGAGGTCCTCCTCAGTTTCAGCAAGCAGGGTTGTGTCATCTGCAAAATGCAGATTGTTGATAGATCGCCCACCAATCCTAACGCCACGCTTCTCCTCATAGAGCCCAGCCTCTCGGATAATCTGCTCTGCATACAGGTTGAAAAGGTATGGAGACAGGACACATCCCTGGCGTACACCCCTCCCAATTTTGAACCATGCAGTGTTGCCCTGCTCTGTTCTGACTACTGCCTCTTGGTCCAAGTATAGGTTTCGCATTAGCATGATTAAATGTTCTGGGATTCCCATTCCTCTCAGAGTCAGCCACAGTTTGTTATGATCCACGCAGTCAAATGCCTTTGCATAATCAATGAAACACAGCATTGATCCTTCTGTCATCCTTAGTCATTGTCTAGCTTCCGGATGCACAGTAATTGTGAAGAGTATGTCCTGTATCAGGCACACCTTAGTCTCTTGACTGATATCATTGCTCTTTAACACCTTAGTGAGGTCTCAGCCAGCAGATTTTCCTAGTGAAATTCATCTTTTTATTTCCTAGCTGTTGGTGTCAAGAGCGTTGATTGTAGGACTGAGTAAGCTGAAATTGTTAACAATCTCAATCGCTTCTCCATCTATCATGGAACTGCCAATTGGCTAAATGTACAGTCAACAAAAACAAGAGAAAGTCCATTATGTAAGGTAGATTAATACAATGACTGTAAGAATGGCTCAAACAATAGAGGTTGTTAAGAGGGTGTATGACTGGAATATACTTTATTTTGTTTTTTATAATGTTGCTATAGGTTGGACAATCAACAAAAATGAAAGAATTTAGCTTATTTTCCAGGATATATATTTAGAAAGAGGGAACTTGGTTACCCATTACATGTTTAAACTCATTGCTGGCGAGTTGGTTCTAACTTACAGTTGTAACACTGAGTTTCTGAGGCTGTAAAATCACATGGAAGGTGATGGATGCCTATTTTTTCCCCAATGGATCCAAATGGTGGATTTGAAACTCTAGAGAGGCAAGTCCTTTGGGTTAGCAGCACAACTTCGTGCTTATATAAACTAATTTTTAAAAAGTTCATTTTTCACATATTTTGCTTGAGATATATTAGGTGGCAAAGGTGGAGGACACCTAAAAATTTTAAGTCACTCTTTAGAGATGCCCTTGATGTTCGCCTAAATTTTCAAGATTATACCAAAAAAACTACTATATGTCAATTGATTTGTGGCAATAATACATGACTATTAATATAAGTGTACTCTGTATTTCCTAAGCTATTGTTTTCACAATAAAAAGAATCACATATTATCATAATGTAAAAATACTAAATATACTTAGTTACTTTTATCAGAATTTTGGATATACGATTTAATGTATATATGTGTGTATTAAATGTATATATAGTAGACCAGTGACCTAGTGGCAAGAAACTGTGCTACAATCCTGAAGGCATATGGTTCAAGGCCACAAGACACTCCATGGGAGAAGGCTGGGCAATCTCCTACCGGGTAATTAACTGCCTCTGAAAACCCACCAAAGGGTCAGCTGTGGATCAATTCTGACTTGATGGTAAACAACAATAACAACAAAAAAGTAGATATACATATTTATATTGCATACAGCGTTGTTGTTATTATGTGCTGTCAAGTTTCTTGTGACTCATAGTGACCCTATGTTCAACAACCCAACACCCTGCTCTATCCTGTGCCAATCTTATTGTCCCTGACACAACCATGCCCATTACCCCAGTCACTGAATCAATTAATATCATCGAGAGTCTTTCTTACTCTGTCCCTCCACTCTTCCAAGCATAATGTCCCTTTTCAAGGATTGGTCCAGCCTTGGAACACATCCAAAGTATGTCAGATGAAGTTTCCAGAATCCTTGCCTCCAAAGAGCAGCCAGATCTCACTCTCCTACTGACGAATCTTTTTGTTCTCCTAGCAGTCCATGGTATATTCAATAGTCTTCTCCAGCACCACAGCTCAAAGGCATCAGTTTTCCTTCTATCATCACTAGTCACTGTCCAGATTTCTGACACATAGCAAATAATTATAAATACTATGGTGCATCTTAGTCTCCAGACTGACATTGTTTTTCTTCAGTCCTTTGGAGAGGTCTCTGACAGCAGACTTTCCCAATGCAATTCATCTTTTAATTTCCTGGCTGCTGGTACCAAGAATGTTGAGCCAAGCAATCTAAAGCTGTTAACAACTCAATCTCTTCTCTATCTATTGTGATGCTGCCAATTGGTCCAGTGGTGAGAATCCTTGTTTTCTTAATGTTGAACTTAAATCCATATTGGAGGCTACAGTTCTTGACCTTCCGCAGGAAGTGCTCCAGGTCTTCCTCAGTTTCAG